TAATTATATAATTTACTTAAAATAATAGGTATAAAATCACTACTATAAAAAATTTCTGTTAATTATATTATTTATTTGAAATAATTTGAATAAAATAACAAAGTGAATTATTCTATAAACAATTAATCTTAATTATTTCCATTTAACAAGCTATTTAGAGACACAAAAAGTGACTGATAAAGAAATTGTAATTATTGTAAATAAAAAATTCAAAAGTATCTTAATTAATCATATTAATGGAAAGACAAAAAAAGCAAAAATTACTTAAGTCAAGAAAAGGAGAATGTAATAAGTAAGTATTGTAAAAGTAGTAATTTGTATATCCAATAGATTCACGAAGCAAATATTTTTAAACCAAATAGCAAAAGAATGCATAAATGTAAATGATCAAAGTCTACATACAAGGCTGATTAGGAATTTGATTTATTAAATTAATGATGTTTTTGTTAAGCATAATAGAAATTAATTTGAAGATTCCCATAAATTGAGGATAAATAGTTCAAAAAGCATGATGAAACAATGAAATCATGATATAATCCTAGAAATAAGTCTTACAACAATATAAAGAAATTATATATGTAAACTTAAAAATTGATAAATTTATTAGAATATGGATTTTAATAATTATATATTTTATTAAATAAATGACTAGAGGTACTATATTTATAAGGCAAAAATTTTAGAAAAATATCTAAAAATGATTAAATTTTTTTATGGAATGGAGTTGGTGGAGGCTTCGTATTTTGCTTATTAAAATGTAAAAGAATCATCATGATTAAATAAACTAACTTAGAGAGATTAAACTAATTCTTTTTTATAAAATTATTTAAGAGGTATTGATAGAGAAGTGTAATGAAAAGTATTTGAGAACAAAATCGCTTATAATATTACTAGTTTCCATCATTGTTAATTTTAACATTAATAATTAAACAATACTATAATTATTATCTAATTATATATTACAGTTATATAAATGAATTGTAATTAATTTTTAAATCAGGCAAAGCTTCTCGAAGTTAATGACTAATTTCAATTCTTAGAATATTTAGAATACTCTCATTTTAATTTGATGATGTTTTGGTCTATATAAATGATAATCATAAAGTTTAAAGTAAAGAAATTAGATAAAAGTATGTAATTGTGTCAAATTATATTGCTTTTAAATGTTTAAAACAAAAAAGTGTATTTAATAAATAATTCTAAAATTAGATTATATTCTTTATGATCAAACTTTCTCTTTTAATTGGCCTATATAAATAATTTTAAAGATAAAAATTTTAAAGATTATTTTTAAACATACTGTTTAGGATTATATTTTATATACAATAAAATACAATGATAGTATTTTATATACAATAAAATACAATGATATTGTTTAATAGAATTTAAATTATTAGTATTAGGGTGTATTTGAATATATATTTGATATTAAATAATAAAATATGATTTAGTATTGTAATTTAAAGATATATAAAAATATTATTTAGATAAGGATAGATTGGTGTTATTGAATTCTTAATAAACAAATGATTACTTGAATTCAACAATTTAATTAAAAGAATATTAACAATCAATTACAGAAATCCTTTCAGAATAGACTAATAAATTAAATCATTTATTTAATAATTTATATCAATAATTAAAATTATCATAATTTAATTATTATTAGATTAATAATAATTCTATATAATTATCTAAATAATTATATGATAAAGGTATTATTATTATAATTATTAGGTTATAAATTATTCGGAATATAAATATCATGAGGCCATAGAAGTGCTAGATAAATCTATATAATCAGATCCAAATAATCATCAATCATTATGTTGTAAAGGTTAAATAATTAATAATCAATAGGTTAATGTTTAAGATTATTAAATAAATATTGGGATGCAATCACTTGGGTGGAAAAAGCATTAACTATTAATTCGAAGCATTTTTTATCTTTATGTGAAAAGGTAGATTGCATCATTATTTAATTAATAGGCTAATGCTTAAGATTATTAAAAAAATATGAGAATGCAATCACTTGGTATGACAAAACATTAGCTTTTGATTTGAAGCATGTTAATTCTTTATTTGAAAAAGGTAGATTGCATTGTGATTTAATTAATAGGTGAATGTTTAAGAATATTGAGAAAATATGATGATTCTTTAAAAATATTAGATTAAGCACTTTCCATTAATCCACAACTTAATTTTTCTCTTAAATCTAAAGGTATATTATGATATTAATTTATAGGTGCATGCTTAGAAGATCAATACAATTATAAAGAAGCTTTAATATATTATGAGAAATCATTAAATATAGACCCAAATCATAAATGGACAATAAACTAAAAGAGTATTTTTAACATATTAGATTAGAAATTTGTGAGAATAAAATGAAACAATGAGTATTCAATATTAAAAATAATTTTATTATTATTCCTTTTTCATATTATTTTATTAAAATGTGATTTAGGTGTTGCTGAGAAAACTTTTATGATCATAATTAATAATTCTATTTATAGATGAAAAATTGAATATGATAATTATCGTTCAAAAAATGCATTACATATTGTTAATCATATATAGAAAGATTTCAGCTTTTAGCTATTTTTATTTAATTTATCATTTAATCTTTATTATCTTAAAAATTTTCTAATTTCAAGAAGAATATTTTAAATAAATATTAGGTAACAATTCATATCAATGATCAACTAATTTAATAAAATCCATCATTCAAAGTCAAAAATAAGGAAATATTAATCTCCTTAATTTGGTGTTATATATTTGATTTACAATAGGTTAAATATTTATAGAGATAATTTAGTTATATGAAGAGTTGAAAAGAAACAATTTGCACATTTATAAAATTTTACTTTTAACAAATATTCTGGAATTAAAAAAAATAATTAAAAATACTAAATATTTATTTTATAAGTGATCTGTTAATTAAGAAAAATGAATAAATATAAAGAAAGTAGAGTAAAATTTCAAAGAATAAAAAAGTAAAAACTTACATTTGAGAATAATATCTTTAATCAAAATGTTGATATCAATAACAATTAATTAAAAAAAAACCTGAAAAAGTTTAGATTAGGTATCTAAGTTTAGGACTTGATTGAAAATTTTTATTTTGATTTAGAATTTGAAATCAAATGCAACTGATTTTAACATTTCTTAGATGCTAAATACAATTCCTTATTAATAATTCAAAAATAAATAATTGCAAAATGAGAGAAGCATTATAATCTTATAATATAATTATTATCCAATATATGTTTTTTAAATTGTAAATACAAAATAGTGATATTAAAAGTATACGATACTAATGATTAGGTCATTATGAAACTATATGTTATTAACTCACCCAGAAGATATACTGTTAAATTTTGATCTAGATTAAAACTATGATTTAGAACCAAAAGTAAAGATGATTAAAAATGGATATATCATAACTTTATTGCAATATTTATTCTGTTTTCTGCATTTTTTAGGTATTATATATTCAATAATAGATCTTGATAAAACTTTATTCATTATTTAATCATATAAACTTAAATTTTTACAGAATTTCTAAATACTGGGAGATACGACTGCAGAGAATAGTTCAAATAATTAGAAGGTTAAAAATTTTATTGATCTCCTTTTTTTGAAGAAGAATAAAGTACAATTTACATAGATGAAATAAATTTTGCTCACTAATTTGTCTATCCATAATGTTGTTGTTTAATCAATGTAATCAAATCAAATATTGGTCTCTGTGTAGAAACCTGATAATGTAAATGAAGGTAGAATTTGAATGGGTTTTATATTTCTTATGTTTACATAAGAAAACTTAACTCATTTGTATTAATGAGATTTATAGAAACAATTGTCTTTTAATAGATTGAATTTTAGAAAAATATTTTTTTTATAATAATTGAAGACTTTCAATATAAAATTAAGGTAAAATAATTAAAGTGACATTTATAAAAAAAATTAATCACTAATTTTTTGGTTTTTAAAACCTTAGAATTGAAAATAATACAGATCAAAAGCTTCAAGCAAATAGATATGCATTAGTTCAACCTATAATAAATGTTCTTTCCAAAGAGTAATTAATATATTTCTAAATAGTTAAATATGTTGTGTTATAGTTTATTAAAATATATTAATCTGTTCTATCCAACTTAAGAATCTTTAATCAAAAATAAAAATAACTTTTAGTTCTCAAGGTTTATAAAGTTAATTTAGATCAGAACTTTAACTTAGATGAGCAAGCCATCAGAGCACGTTGCCAACCGAAAAAAAGATAAAGGCATGATAAAACATAAATCAACATAAGGTAAATTAAATATATCGATGCAGCATAATGAGGATGCTAAATAATCCATGTTTCAATATATGATCCATCATCCCAAAACAATAAGACACTTAAAACTATTTTATTACTAAAATTAAGAAAACTGCTATCCTGTTGATAAACCAAATGATGGATCTATTTTTTTATCATATATCGATTTAATTGCTAAATATCTTGAATCTTAAAATAAAAAAATTATAATTAACATCGAATGATATCTTCATAGTCAATACAAAATTTTGAATGAATAGAGCAAGATTAAACACATTTATTTTTATATAATTGATATCCTGAATACTTCTTAACAAAATCTTGTGTCTACATTAACATTTCTAAATCCCCAAGATTTATTTTGATATTAAAATTATCCTTTAATTAGAAGATCTGGATTGGAATCAAAAAGTTAAAAAGTCACTTATAATCTTAACACAGTATTAGTATTACCATTACAAGTTTCATTCTTCTCAAAAATTATCAATAAAACTTAGAATGGTGATGACTACTTTATTATTCTAGATTATGCTTGATTATTGCATAAAATTTCAATTTGCTTTTATTTTAGAAATTAATTAAATAAAATGTTATTCTAATTCTTACACATTTTATAGCTTTTTCAAGACTTAGTTAGTATAGCATTCTTTAGTTAAATTACAACTTTCCGATAGTACTAATTCCACTACAATTTTCATTAATTATATTCGTATTTTTTTTTTGGATGAAATTCGCCTGATTCAAATATTAAAGAACAATATCTATGATTTGATTAAGTGTTGCTGTCATCTCCGAATAAAGTAAACTTTGATTTTATTCTTCTAATTCACATATATTATATCATAACGAGCAATTGAATATTCTCTACTGTATTTTTATCGAAAACCTATATGTTTCTGAAAATTATTAATTAGAAATATAAATAAATTTTCCTCCTTATACACTCAAATTGTTGAAACATGATAAACATTAAATTTCTGAAGGCTCATTACAAGATAAACAAGTTGGATAGCAAGTATAAATATATATTAATAAATTTCTTATCCCTATTTCCATATCATTAATTTTAGGATTGAAGCAAATTTTTATTTTAAATTTATTGGTGTTAGAACTTGCTATTTTATAGAATATATTTATAATCTTACTAATACTTACAACTGTATAGAATTGAAATTGGCCCCAATCACTTCGACATATTCTAGCCCTGTTTTAAATTAAATAATCTAATTTGTAATCTCCTCTAAAGATTGCTAAACGATTTCTGAGGCTTTATTACTTCTATAAATAACCTAAAATGATGAATTATCATCAGCGGCATCAACAAAAAACATCGAAATAATTTTAATTTCAAACTCTTATAACTGAATGATTTATTTAAATATTAACTAAGTTTTTTCAATTTTAATATAAAAGTTAATTTTCACTACATTTTGGGAATGAAAAATTGTATTTTTCATATAATAAATCATTTTAAGTTTTAAATTAAACTTTCATAATCAAAAATTTATTATAATTCAGAATGATACTCGTTGTAATTAAGTAATTAGCCTACTCATATTAAATAATAAGCCATCCAGAAACCTTTATTGAATTAATTTCCTATTAATATCTAGAAGAAGGTTAAATAGATTAGAAACATTAATACGAAGGAAATAATTTTTCAGTCTAAAGAATAGAATGTTTATTTTAAAGTGATTTTCAAATT